GCAAGGGTCCACCATGCACCAACCACAGCCCCAATGACCACAAGCAAAAGTGGGAGTTGCTATAATTGTTTAATTATAGGATTTTGCTTGCTTGACTTTGCATTTTGTGCTCATAACTTTTGCGCTGAGTTCATGTTACCTCTGTTCTGTGCTACTTGGGCCCATAAAGACCATAGAGACCACATTTTGTGTACTCTTAACGATGAAACAGTCAATGGAAATGATTAATTTATTTATTTATTTTAACTAAATGTTGCACACTTTAATATTCAATCTGCTATAAACAATACGAATTTGTTTTATTCTAGTTTATATTATTTTGCAGGGTATACAAAAATCACCACAGAACTTGCCAGGCATATATTTTATTCTTACAGTTTTGACACGGGTTGCTCGCTCCCCTGTTTTGTTTTTGCTTTATATTAACCTTCGCGGCGAAATCTGCAATCGCTCCAGTGCTCAAGCTTTAGAGCCGGCATCGCCTCCGATCGGCCCAGCTTCAGCTTCTTCCACGCCTAAGGAAACGAAACGCCTGTGACCTGTGTCGTCGTTACTGTCGATGTTTCTACGCTGCAGAGCAGTCCACCTCCGTACAGACATCGTTATGGATAGATCTGGCCATCTAACATATGACAAAAGTTAAAGATTTGCCATGTACAGCAAGCAGCTGAAGGCTTACTCCTGGTTGGGAGTACAATGGCTCCGCCCCGCCCTCCGCCATTGGAAAGCAACCCAAAAAAAATTCCTAACATATTTTGTGCCGATCCTCTGCTCGTCAATGAGCGGGCAGTGGCCGTTGTGCAGCAGTGCACCCTTTTCTGTGGTCGTGTACAAAAAATTATGAACACTCTAGCCCGTGCCAGACTCGACGCCGGTATTTCTGCCTCATCTCTTAATGGAGCCCAGCCCTCGGGCGGTCATGTGCAATCTTGCAAGAGTTTTGCAGCCGCTTATAAATGAGCTTCTACGAAGCCTTTGATGGAGGCTCGCGTTGCGTTGCGTTTCGTTGCTGTTGTCTTCTGTTGCGTTGCGACATATATGTACAAAATTTCAGCCCTATAATTGCTCAAAGTCTTTGGTCCAGTGCCGGGACAATCGATGAGGACAAACCAGTCTGTCATAACACCCACAATAACCCGTCATCGCCCCTGAATATTTTGGCCAGACAGACAAATTTAGTAGCAGGATTCGGCGCAATCTAACATCGTAAAACGCCACTAACATAACAGCGGGACCAGCCCAGGGTCCACTCCGGTCCACGGTCCAGGGAAATGGGTATCCATGGAGGCAGGAGGCAGGCGGAGGAGGAGGAGGAACGCGCGTTTGTGCCTTGTGGGCGCGCACTCGATGCGGGCTCGCTCGCTCGCTCGGGCGATGCGATGCGATGCGATGCGATGCCAAGACGTGAAATTGATGGGCAGTTTCTACTATACCTTGAATACTTCAGACGTGACGTGAATAATGCGCACGATAAGGATCTCAAATACCTTCTTTTGAGCGCAGTACATGCAAATTTTGAAGATTATTCGACGATTACCAGCAGTTAAAGTGATTTGGAAGTATACTCCGTTTGTACATATGTATTGGAAATATAATGGTACACATTTATGTACGAAACTTTAATTTATGAATTATGTTACAATGCTAGCCAATATGCATATTTCAAAGCGCTTTAAACCTTCACAAAATTCGATTACCAACCAATCTCCTACGACATAAGGGATGTACTCTGATGGTTATATGCGAAAAAGGGACTTAATTATTGGTTTCCAAATTAAATTGAGGCAGTAATTTATGAGGCTATAAAGTGCATACAGTAAAGGATAACAAGCCGAGTCAAGCTTTTAGCTAGATTTTTCTTTAACCGAAATCAGAACTTTATTTACATATTTGAAAATCTAAAACCGAGCAGAGGGAGAGAGCCATTTTGAAGGTACAAAAATCTATTTCCTCAACAGTGAAATCCTTTCAACTTTTCTTCCCTCCATTAAATATATTCAAGCAAGTCATTGAACTCGCAACCCAATTTGAAATTCAATGCCTGTTTGAAATTTATTCCTCAATCTATAAACACACAAAATATTTTCATTGAAGGAACAAATTCTGATTGATTGGAAGGATAAAATCATAGGTCAAAGGCAAAGGTTCTCTAGGAACTTCTCTCTATGTAAATTAAGTCTTTATATAAAAAAAAAGCGCTGCCATATTCGCAATGATAATTTCATTTGTTTTGCAAAACTGTCTGCCGCACTGTTTCGATGCACTTGTGGCAAACGTTTCCTAAAGGGATTATCTCGATAATAATAAACCGCGCTGCGCCGCTCGGCATAAGTCCGCAATTGGCTTTCCCATGACCAAACAGTATTTACTCGAGTGCATAAGCCTCTTGCCTGCCAGCCAGCCAGCCAGCCAGCAGCCCATTGTGGGCACCATGAATGTGCCGGGCAGTAAAAGAACAATTGTTTTCGGGCATGAAATTCAAATACAAACAGTGCGGAACAATGCCGTTTATGAACCTGTCAATCCTAAATTCAATTGGGATTGTGTAAACTTGGATTCAGCATTGATGGGTACAGCTTATGCTCCCTCTCATATCGATACGCTTGTTTAATCACTCTACTCACACACGACGGGCTCTGAATTGGCGCCATCTGCTAACTTGTTACAAATTTAATACCCCCTGAATGCAAGGGGTCCCCTTCATATGGGAATATTTGCACAAGTACTCGGAATTATTGTGCTACTGTTTTCCGCAGCCAAATGTTTATTTTATTGCAGAATAAATGTCTTCCCAGGTACTCACAGGTATGATGCAAAATTCTCACAAAGAAGTGAATTGTTTTGTAATCATTCAAAGTATAAATTATACACAAATGTCTGTGAGTCTGTGAGTACGAAACCATCGACTAATTGGGGGTGCAATGAACACACACACCCCTCGAGTGTGGTCGTGGTCTTTATCGTGTTTAAATATGGGCCAAAGGTAACACATTAACATGAACAATTTAAGTAATTGTCAGTCCCGCGCCACCCTGTCCGTCTGGCCAATTTGGAATCGCATGCGAACTCAAAGGCTAAAAAGTGTACATTTTAATGACCGGCTTGGCTTGGTCGGATTGAATGGATGGGTTGGTATGTCAACACACTTGACAAGTGCACCGGGACGAAATACTTTATTGGGCCTCTGCTCTGCTCTGCTCTGCCCTGCTCTCTCTCTCTGTGTGTGTATCGTGCCTCGCCGCAGTTCAACCCATAATTCAACGACATTGTTAATGTCGCCCAAATGAGAAAAGTATGAAGGTTGACAGATTGCGTAGGACGAGGACGACCACGACGAGAATTTTGACAGATGGCTCTATTCCAGCTCTGCTTTTTGATCTGGCAACTTTTTTGTTGTGTGTTAAATTTAAAAGTGTTTTGTTTTGTTATCCTTGAATGCGTCTTGTTTGGCAAATAGATAATTTAAATTTAACAGCAAAAGGGTGACGTTGCTGCGGCTTAGGCCCCACGTGAAATGTAACAATTTAAACAACAAAATGTCCATCCATGGTGAAATGTCTGTCAATATATTTGGCAGATTATCTCCATGACGACGTAGTGCAATTAAAGTTCTCCGCACCAGGGGAGGGGTGAACAAATCTAGAAAACTACCTTGAAAAGAATTTATGGTAATCAATATCATAACTTCCTTGGGCGTAAATTATGGGGTTACCACATGTTTGGTTTGCCTGCATTTTGCGGGTAGAAATAAAGAACGGGACACGGCCATGGGCATGGGCAGAGGAAAGGCGTTTCGAGTCGTTTTTTACACCACCGAGGAGAGGGCGTTGCTGGCCGTTGAAGAAATTCGGGTATCGACAAATTGTCACGTAGTCCTCACCGCACTGATAGGCAACATCATCAAAATTATTTTTTAGCACTCGTTGCGGTGTGGGGACGAACTTGGCCTCGGACCCACACTCACACTCGCAGTCACAAGGTGTCCCCCCCACCCCACCTCTCTCTGGAAAAGCGCCAGGAAATTGTAATTACAATTTTGTGTTGCAACCACTCGGCACGCAGCGTACTCAGCGCCCAATTCGGGGTGGACCGTGGGCCGTGGTTAAGCGAGCGTGTAATTTACAATTCTCTCTGGTTGCCCACACCGTTTACCGTCTACAAACGTTTTAATTATGGTTTAGTTTACATATTCACATGGATTAAACAACGTACGCCGTATATTTGTGGCAGGTGTAAAAGAGATCTTAGATTAAACGAAGATACTCGTGCTAGAGTGAAGAAAGGTGGCCAATGAAATAGGTATACAAAATGGTATACATCATAAATAGCCCTGTGCGTACTATATCCAACTTTAGATGCCTGGTCTATTAGTCAAATACTATCATTGTGGTCATTCATTAATTTTATGGCAGGTAATAGATAGGAAGATCGTTTCATATGTTAAACAAAAGACTAATCAAATTACCATAGTAGTACGACTATCATTCCTTTATTTGCAATGACTTCATTGTTGTTAGAAACAAACCAGGTTTTCCAATGACGAGTGGATTTCGACTTTTCAACATTAATACTCATAAATTTAGTACGAAATTCAAAGTGAGATTCTAGTTTGCGTATAAATGGACGGACAAGGCTCTGATTTACATAGCTCAACTATTTCTGGAACATATAAATGGTGTAAAAGCAAGGGAGATGCTTCCTTTTGTGCCTAACAAACACCTGCTAAATTTTGCAGTACCAGTTCCCTACAACTTCTTTGAATATATGTATGTAATTATCTGTAGTTTTACAAACTCAAAACTCAAAAACGTTCATTTTTTCCATGTCCCTTTAGGAAAACCAACTTTTGTTTCTGATTTCTTCCCGATCGCTAATTACTAGCTATAAGTTTATATTACGTTCTTAGGTTCCTTGCATAATTGCAAATTAGTACCAATTTATCTGTAATATGTAGCAAAAAGAGCCTTTTCTTAATATGCAAATTTATTACTTAGTTTGAATTAATGAATACAGAATTGTCTAGGATGTTTATTAATTAAAAATTGGAACATAAGTTACTTGATTTATTATTTAGCTCCGTCTTGGTTTGTAGCTCCAGAAATGAAGACCAATAGCACCACAGGCACGATGTACATCCACTAAAAGCAAACAAATTATAGTCGCCATCAAATGCGTCCAAGACTCAGCTTACATATTTGGCAAAGAATCCACGATTATCACGAACTTCCCCACGGTCGCGGGCCTCGCGCTCACGCTCCACCTTTTGAATAAAGCCAGCTGTATCCGGTACGGGCGCCAGCTCGGCATGACGGATCAAAACATCGGTGTTGAAGTGCGTTTCCTCCAGCTGATTTATTTCATCACTTGTGCAGCCGCTGGCACCTGGCGAAGCGTCTTGAGAGGCAGTAACACCCGTAACAAAGCCAGAAGGATCTAGTGATATCCACAGTACGTCGTTCAGATGAGCTTGCAGCAAGCTGCAGGCCTTGTTGGATGTCAGGAAGCGTGTTTTGGCTCCGTTGGGATACACAACAGTTGCCTTCAGGCGGTAGAACTCATTTTGCTTCGCAAGAGCCTAAAATATGGGTGGAAATCGAAAAATATAGGCAAATATATAGTAAATACCTTAGCAGCGACGATTTAATAATGTTAAAACCAGAGCTTAGCACTGGTAATTAGGCAGAATTAACATTCACAGACACCAAGTTCGATTTTATAGATATTTAAGCTGAATGCATGCAGTGGTGTATGTGAAGCTGTGAACCTTGTTATGTGCATACATATGTATGTATGTATCAATGCCGGTCTGCACAGCTCCACTTACCTTCAACGTGTCCAGCTCTCCAGGTGTCAAGGGAAGTTGGGCTACATTGGACAAGCCCGAATTTAGACTGGGAATTGTAACATTTCCGCGGAAAGAAAATTCGTTGGTGTTGGTTGCTAGCGCATGGTGCAATTCAACTGTAATCCAGCTGTCGTGTTCTAGAAAGCACTATGAATTAAACAGTTAATTGGTTGTGTATGGCAGATGGTACTATTATGTATATTACCCATCCACTGGCGACGATGCTCAGCAAAACTACAATACCAGTTAAATTCATTCTAAAATTATTACGTTTTTTTTATGAATTGTAATTTAGTCAGTCAGTGTGACCGCGGAGTTATCAATCAAATATACCGCCAGACCTTCAAAAATATACCATCTCAATTTAAAAATATACCGATATATACCTTAGTCTTAGATCATGTACCTTGATTTTGATGTTTAAAAATGTAACTTTATTTTGTATTTTTTTGAATAATGAAATCAACGATGAAAATACATATACTGAATAATGAACTCACGTTATAATTCATATGCGTCATTTATACAGAAAACCAATAAAAATAAGAAAGAAAATAACACTTTAAATCGGTTTAACAACTTAAATATGCTATTTTTATATTATTAGTATCAAATAATTTACTAATATAATTATACAAAACCAAAGAGAACCCCAAAACAACTGTAATTAAATAGAATTCTGGAATGAAATAGAGAGAGAATTTACAAAGAATTCTGCAACAGAAATCTACCACATGAGCACAACGAGATATGGAACAGCTGGATCCCCGAGCAAGACAGACAAGCAAATCTCGTCGATCACACGAAATGTATTTGGGTTTTTGATTCTCGAACATTCTCCGTTGCACTTTTGCCTTGTGTTTATGTCTGATGTCAGTCTAATTGACTGACAGTCTAATTCTGAAGTCAGAATAATTTTCGAAGCAATGGGAGCAGTTGGCAGCAATTTCACTTCACTCATTTGTAAACAATTGCATTAACTGCATATTACAGTATAAATATAGTAAGCCAGTGGTTTTTACTCTCATTATGTTGGGACTTAGTAGGCCAGTAGAAGATTTATTAATACGGCTGTATAGCAATAACTGCTGATCTAAAAAATCCCAACTATAATGGGTGCACACAAATATTCCAGATGATTTATAGTTATGGTCTTGTAAGTAGTTGACGTTCGCGTTTGAAGCTTAACTGACAAGCTGAATGAAATTTACATCATCTTTTATAGCTACCATTGAGAAATCGTCCATTACATCATAATATATTTTTAAATTATTATGCCATAGGTGTGTCTAAAGCATGATCGTATCAGGTATTCATATGCTGAGATAAAGGGAAATGTAATAAGATATTGTTGCCTTGCTACAATCTTCAAGTGAAGCCAATATAAAACGTTGTGCATCATTGCACTTCAGTTTATCATGCAGACTATCATAGGACAGCGTAAAATCAGTTTATTAAGAAATATCAATATGGTCAGTCGATGGAAGTTCCAATCTACGATTGGTGACTTACTTATGCTTGGACTTGGTTCAGCTTATACCATTTTGAGGTTTAAAATATTAGTTTTTTTTTGGTTACATTATAATTACACATTTTCCTAGTCTGATTACAAATTAGTCAACATTGATCAACAATCCATTGAAACGATCGAAGGAAACTGCACGTTTTCCGCAACTGTTCGCGAGTTGTACACAACAGCAACGCAGAGTTTCTCATTATACTCTAGATCGTACAGCAGCTGAAAATAAAGAGTAAGAAAAAACAATAAAGTATATACTTTTGGTCTAGTTGGTTGTCGAGGGTAAACAGAGAAAAAGAAAAGTAAAATCTTTCCACAGAGGAGCTAAAAAACGAATTCGACAACTTCATGGACAATTATGTAACGACGCACATTCTGAACACAGAAATTTTGTAATAAACTTAACATACCTTCGGCGTAACAAAGAGATACTGGGCCGAACCAGGCTTGGTGGCTTCCTTTAGCAGTAGATTGAAAATGTGACGTTCATTCTTGGCGTCCATTCCTTGATTTATTTCGTCGACGCATCTACAAATATTACACATTTGAATATTATACTCTTCTATTTTATTTGAAATATAATTACCTGAATGGCACGTGAGTAACATGCTGCAAGGCCAACGAGTAAACGGCTATGGATACTGCTCGCTCGCCACCAGATTGAACGAACTTGTCCAAAGCTTGTAGTGTGGAGTTTTTTCTAAACTGGACCATAATTTGGATGCCATATGAGTCGAAGTCGAACTGAAAATACAAAAATAGTTCTTATAATGTATAATATAATTTTTCCAAAATAATTCCATACCGTATCTGCATGGGATAGATTTATCTCTCCCACGTAGTCGATGGATTCCATGAATTCGCCAAACTTTTCGTTGATCGTTTTTATCAGTTCATCCACTTTAAGTTTCCATCTTTCGTATAAGGCAGTCATTTCCGTTTCGATTGTTTTCTCATTGAACGCCGATACTTGAATTAGTTCCTCCAAAGCCTGTGCATCGTTTTGCAGCTCATTGAAATCTTTGATTGTCTGAAAATAATCGAATTATATATTAAAATTTATGTAAATTTAACGCAGTCAACGTACATCTGAATTAATGTTTTGCATGCAGTCCATTCTGGCCTGGTGGTCGTTTATGGCTTCGCGAACATCATTGATTTCCATGCTCGCCATATTCTTGAATTCCGTTTTAAATGGGAATGCCGAATCGGTTGGCAGCATTTCGTTGCACCGCAGCCTTATTTCGTGTATTTTCTTTTGGTCCTCTCTCGTCTGCACTTCTAACTGCTCCGAGAGTTGTTGTACTTTTCTCTAAAGATATAAAAATAATTGTATTGGCTGTTGGTAAGTTTCCTTTTTACGCTTACCTTGGATGAATTCAACATTTCCTCCATTTCCTTAAGCGAATTTGTTTGACTTCCCTGTTGTTCCATGTAAACGGCTTCCATTTCTTTAGCCAATTTATTTTCACACACACATTTGCTTATTTTGACTGAATTTTGCACTAGTTTCAACTCGGTGTCTAGCATTTTATTCATATTCACGAGCAGATTTTCAAAAGTTTGTTTTTTGATTGTCTCTAATGCTAAAAGTATTTCCGTGAAGTAAGTTATGAATTTGATTGGATCTACATATATACTCACAATTAGAAGCTTCTTCAAGCCTTTGACATCTTTTCACAAGTTTCGCTATTTCGCCTTCAAGTTGATTAAAATATGATAACTTTTGTTCGACTGTTTGCTTCTTTTCAGCCATTTCTTTGCGATTGGCCTGCAAACGCTCAAACTCTGCATCGAGCAATGTGATTGCATTACGCAGTCTGTCGCGTTGTGCCACAACTTCCGTATACTGTCTTTGAAGCGCCTCCAGTTGTTGGGTATCAACAGCAATCAGTTGATTTTTGCCTCGAATTGTGCTCTCAGTGAGTATGGTGTCGGATCGGTATCGAGATGTAGTCACCGTGAACTTCTTGTTGCCTAGAAGGTACAATATTTTAGCTGGTTAAAGTGGCGGTGTATTCATACTTGCCTCCAAAATATACTCGAATTTGCTTTGGAATGGATGAAGTATGATTGCTTACGGCGTCTGTGCCGATGGGAATGTTATGAATTGAGTACGACGAGCAGAGTTTGTTGATTATGGGTGCCGGTCCCGAGACAAGATCAACTAGATACGCGTGAAATCCCAAGGGTCTGTTTATCAATGAAAGAATATTTAATTCGATGTACAATTTCATAGGAGGCTGACTTACCGCAGTGTACTTCTAGCCAACGTGGGGCTATATGCACATGTCTCGGCTGGTGCGCAGTATATAATATTCACACCCAACTTCTGCTTCACACATAGCTCGTTGATCAGTTCAGACATATCAGCTTTGTCCTCACACGCAAACGCAAAAAGATCGCGCTGCCTTACCACATTCTCCAGGTACTTCGTTGCTTCGTCACTCTCCATTGATAACTATAATTGAGGATTGTGCATCAAAAATGCAAAAATATACAAACAAATATATAATTACCTCAAATATCATGGGCAGATAAATATTTAATCTATATTTGTGCTTATTTTGCTCTACCCAATTAATGGCAGTAACCAAATTTGGTTGTGTTCGGCTCAGTTCCTGCATCTTTTGTGTTTTCACATTTTGCAGCCGGTCCATTTTATTTTTCAGTGCTGTAACTTCGGGAATCTTTTCATCATTCAGAGCGTGCTCTAGCTTTCGTCGCTTGTGGAGCTGATCCATTGCTCTTTTGTTAATGTTATTGAAGGCTTCTTTATGCGATTCCATTTCGGACATAATACTGGATTTGTTCTTGTTTAATTCCGCCAATTCGTGACTTTTAGCATCTAATACTTGTTTCACCTTTACGGCCTCTGCTGCAGACTGTGCTATTCTTTGTTTTTCTCTCTTAAAAATATAAAATTATTTAAGTCAGCAAATTGAAAATGATAGAAAATGTAACCAACCTCATATGATGATTTATTGTGTAACATTTCTTGCTTCAAATTATCCAATTGACCTAAAATAACATTTTTGGCCACCTCAGCCTGACCTGAAGACCGTATCTGAAAGGAATTACGACTGTAATCGTTGGAGTTGTGTCTGGGAGTGTGTTAACACTTACCGCGTTTGTTACGGCTTTCCTTAGGTCGAATTTTGTTTTTTCGCTTTGTTCCGCCTCTCGCTTGTGCTTATTAAATGATTTTTCCACATTCTTATAATTCGCTTTCTCTGCCTCCAATTGTGCTTTATATTCAGCAGCCTTCTCTGCTGTCTTTTCCACATCCAGCCATATTTTCTTTGCTTTCAATATGTTCAGTTGGCGATTAATTTCCTCGCGTTCACGAAATTGCACCACAGACATCTTTAGCCTAGAAGTTTGCATAGCCAAGCATTAGAATTCTAAGTTGTTTAATCATTCATTTATGCTTACTGTTCCAAGCGATGTTGTTTCTTCTGCAAGCTCATCTTTTGCTTCTCGCGATCCGAATTGGCGTTGGTCTGCTTGGAGCGCATCTCTTTCAGCTGAGCGAAATGATTTGTCAGGTCATTGTCGCAGATGGAAGCTATTGTGTTCGTCAGCAGCTCTTGTGGATTCATTTTCGAAAAGTCCTGAGCACAGAATCGAAATTAGACATGTTCTAATTATAAATCAAAGTCTAGGTGTTACCTGAACCCGGTCCTGTGGCATGAACTGGCACAAATTGCCGACTTGCAAGTTGTACGACGCCACTGTGTTCAGGAAGTTCTTCTTCGGCTGCTTAACATCCTTGACATAGAAAGTTGATGCTCCATCAGAAGTAATGACACGCCGAAAAGTCTCCGTAGTGTGTTGTAAGCGACCGTAGATCGTCACAACAATTGTGGCCTCAGTCTCGCCGCTTCGTATGTAGTCTGCCAAGCTGGCGGAGCGGTCGAGCAATTGTGGTTCGGCGCCCAGGCCTATCATTATCGCGGAGACCACAGTAGACTTTCCGGTGCCATTGGGCCCAGTCAATACATTAAGGTATAGTTTGGGATAATAAGTCACCTCCTTGTAGGACCTGATAAGTAAAATAACATTTAGCGTTAACCGATCGGCGGACTGTGGTATGGAATAGGCAGTGCGTGCATATGGCAGTACATTGTTGCTTGCCACTGCTCCTACTTACACGAAATTTTTCACATAAACAGACTTTATCCTGCCCATTAACTTATCCTGGCTCAATGGCCTTTCTTTCGGCATTTTAAAGTGCAGTATAATCGTATATATAGTAGTAAAAGCGTAGAGTAACTTAAGATTTTGAAAACTACTGCCTAAAGTACTTGTTTTACGCGCGCTTCTTGTTTGTTGTGTAGAACACTAGAGATGTACACGACGTCTTATTAAAAAAGGGCCCGTGTTCAGTACAATGCTTTTGCTCTGTTGTTAAAAATAAAAAATATTACCTAGAATTGTGAGTAGTTAAAAAATTTTTATAGGACAGTTATATAATAAATTATGTGTAAATTACTATTTTCGCCTTGGGCGTGCGAATATAGCGTATTTCTAGTGTTAAAATCCCGAATTGTCTAACTATTCCAATATTTTCAATTTGAATTTGAGCGTTCACTGTAGGAAACACATTGTCTTGTTAACAGTTTGTAAACTATTTTTGTTGTTAGATCTGAATGGCCAAACCATAAACTAATAATAATTTGTACTTATTATATTATTATTTTGTATTTCGTTAAAATAAAAAACAGTTAACAGAGTACCCTTATTATTCGTTGTCTAATATCGATATGCAACATCAGTTTTTGTGCGATAGTCGTTCCTTCAGCACGTTCTTTCATCCCTAATGTGGCTAAATTGTACAAATAGTTTTACAAAAACCGCAAAATGAATATACGTAAAATAGAGGTTGTAAGGAAACTCTCTGCGTTTCCTTTACGTCTACAATCTACAACGGCCACGCCTGCAGAGCTGCCGGCGTCAATCATAAACGATGATGCTGTGGAGGATGGCGCTGTGCGTGCACAGAAACTCAACAAATCTGGCCTGCTGGAGCAGCATAAAAATGTTTTAATGGGTACTTTACCATATCGCGACGCACAGTCGTGGATCCACTTGACCGAGAAGTATCAGAGAAAAGTCTATGGCCAGTACGGTGCCAAGAGCAACGTAAACCCAAAGATCTGCTTTGATTCGGGCGCAGAGAAAGAAGTTATGCAACTGGAGACTTTCCTCAAAGCTGTGGAAAAGAACCGCCTGGAGAAGGCTGAGAAAATCGAAAGAACCAATGCCCGCGATGAAGAAATAGCCAAGAAACTGGATAAGCTGCAGCAGTGGAAATCCGACCTAAATGCAAAGGTGGCCAAGCGCGAGGCAGAGGCTGCTGCTGCGATAGCGCGAAAGGAGCGATTGGTGGAGGAGGTGCGCAGGCATTTCGGCTTCAAGGTGGATACGCGCGATGAGCGCTTCAAGGAAATGCTCGAGCAGAAGGAGAAGGAAGACAAGAAGAAGCAAAAGGAGGCCAAGCGCAAGGCAAAGGAGGAGAAAATGATGGCGAAACTCGTGGAGAAAACATCGTCCTAAGTTAACTACATTTATCGAGCAATAAACTAAATCACCATTACAAGTTCAAGATACATTGACCCTAATATACTTTTATTTTAAAGATCAAGTGCTTGTCCTAGGACACCCATATCTGCAACTGGAGCAATGGATCTGCTGGAGTATTTTTGGAATGTTTATTTTGCACTTCGAATTTTAATATGTTGGATGGCAGAAAACATATTTGGTTCACTTGCGTACGTAGCTGCTGCGTGAGAGCGACGTGTGGTTGGACGAGCGGATGGAAGCAGCACTTTGACGACGGCTTGCAATGCTGCCACTTTGCTTCTTTAAATTGAATACATGTTCGTTGCAGGTTATGCAAACATCCACAAAATGAGAGAGCTGAGGAGAAGCAAGTTCCCTCAACATTTTCTGAGCCCTCATCAGTGATTCCTTGGTGCGTTCAACCTTTTGGAGTGCTGCATTTGACTTAATAATGAGAAGAATGCACAGAAAACGCCAAATCAAGCTGTTGCAGTTCCTAGTTTCTGAAAAATAATGATAAAATTAACATAATTACAATATAAGTAGCGAGCGAAACCTCACCTATGATGCCCTTTCTAGCTGCAAAGCAGCATTCATCAAAGCGATTTGACTTGAGATGAGTATTGCCAATTTGATGCAGCAAATAGCACTTCTCGATCGAGTATTTGGCAAACTTTATTCGTTTTTCCAATCGACTTATCAGCTGTCTGTAAATTACGCATTTGTGGCACCATTTTCGTGCATTTATTGTTTGTTAAGAAACACTTACCTGGACTTTGAGTGAGTTGGATCTGACAGTTCCAAACCGTGATGAGTGGAGCGGTCTCCAAATACAAAATTTTGAACCTCCCATGATTTGTCCGTAGGAAGGCGAAGTAACTTAAGAAGAGCATTCTTGTCATCGTGTCGATTCCTGTCGTGAGGGACTCTGCACTGCTCGGCAAATGCCAGCGCCAATGTGTTGTACACTTCATTCATAAACTCAAATTTCCATTGCATAATTCGATTAGTTTTTAAAACCACGTAATCTCCCATGACTTCCTCCACGTACCTCGATAGTTTCTGCTTACAAAAAAGGATAGGATCCTTTATAGACCTTAAAACTAGGAAAACATTAGACTCACCGCAACGTTGCCAGCCGCACGAAGATTTCGAATGTTCCTTATTACCACGCGCATATTTCGACTTGTTTGGTACTCCGTACGGAAAAGATAGTCCTCCCGAAACTTGTCCATCAGTTTCTTGTTCGTGAATTTGTTGTAGCGGATGAAGTACATGGGCGCACGCGCATGAAGCATTTTCTGGAATATTTTTATGGAAAATGTATAAATATTTTTCTTAAAGCAAACAGCTGACATACCAAGAACTTCTTTAATTCATCATATTTCTTTTTGTTTAGAGCTCCCAAAAAATGTTTTGTGTATTTGCACTGCTCAAGCAGCAATGTTGGGTTCCTGAGCAATTTTTTCAAGAAAATCACATCGATCCATGACTTGTCCATGTAAACTTGATTGAACACATCAAATGCCCGACTTCGTCTTGCGATTTCCAGTGGGGATAGTAGTTCGTCCTTGTGCAAATAATAACTCCTTTTTAGAAGAATTTAAACTGTGCACATATTATTTTTACGTACCTCGATGTCTGGAATACTTAGAACATCGCATTTCCCTTGTTCTTTTAATTGTTTCCACAGAGGTTTGTTTTGATCATAACTGCGTGCCTTGAGGTCCCTTTCGTTAACATGGATTAACAGCTTTTCATTTGCTTTAACAAACTGTGCCAGCTCTTCTCCACAACAGTTTTTAATGTTTTCGTCAACCTAAAAAGAATTAGGGATCAGAGATAGTGCAAATATACATACTTTAAATATTAATTATACCACAACGAGACGTTTCTCAAATGATTTAATCTTGTTTCCCTTGAACAGCCGAGTGTTTTGGTGTAATTCCGCCTTGGCAATCTCAAGGTGATTTAGTTCGTAGAGAGCATTGCAAATTTCCAAATTAATTGGCGCATTTTGAATCTTAAGTCCTTCTAAAATGCCTGTAAATCAATTAGATTTTAGAGTGCAGATTCACATTCTCAGAATGTAGACATACTTTTTGCCTGTGTGCAATCCTTAAGAGCGCCTTCGGTCTGAGCATTTTTTCGCTTAGTCTGGCTCCGATGGTACAGGGTCACATGATCCTCGGGCAGCATGGAGAGTGCCTTGTTGTAGTAGTACATGGCCATGTTCTCCCTTCGCCGGCCCGAGTAGTACGAGCCCCAGTCCTTGTAGATGCCATGCTCTATTTCGGGACTCCAATCAATTTTCAACCATATAGGTATGGCGGCTTCAATTCCTGCCGGTGGTATAAAATTCGGAACTATTGAAGTCATTTTTGTTATTTATTTTTATTTTTTTTATATTTATTTTGTTGTGCGTTGTGTATGAGTGATTAGAACATAATGACGGGAATCAATTTTGGCCCAAAAATCTGAAATACAACTTTAATTTCAAAGGACCCATGACCCAAGTATTCCGAGAAATAAATGTAAAATATTCTGCGAAGGTTTCTGCCATTTTAGTCATTGCTAATGATCATTCTGTTACACTGAATAAAAACAAGTTCCTTCGAGACTCAACAACAGAATATATTTAAAGAAATAATTGTACAACGTTTTTAACTGATTGCAAGCGTAATATTACTACACACATGTAGTAATACTAGTAGTAATAATAGTAGTAATACATACTACACTCTTCACTCTTCACTTTTCACTTTTCTTGTCAATACTTGTCTCAGACTCCTTGGCTGTCATCAAGGATGTTTCACTTTGATGTCGACTTGCAATACTGCCGTTTTGTTTCTTTATATTAAATTCTTCTTGGTTTAACGCTATGCAAACATCCACAAAATGAGAGATACGAGAAGAACGAAGTTCAGGCATCATTTTCTTGACCCTCATCAGAGCTTCCTTGGTGCGCTCAACCTTGTGGAGTGCGGCATTGGACTTAATTATGAGAAGAGTGCACAGGAAACGATATATCAAGCTATTGCAGTTTTTAGTTTCTGAAAAGAAATTAATTGTAACATAATTATAGTATAGTATAAATAATAGTTTAGGCTCACCAGTTAAGCCCTTTCGAGCTGCAAAGCAGCATTCATCAAAGCGATTTGATTTGAGATGAGTGTAACCAATTTGATGCAACAAATAGCACTTCTCGATCGAGTATTTGGCAAACAGCATTCGTTTGTCCAATCGAGTTATCATTTGTCTGAGAATATAATTTATAGAAACTCTTTAGAAACTTTTAGAAGCTCTCACCTGGACTTTGAGAGAGACGGATCTAATATTTCCGCGTCCTGATAAGTGGAACGGTCTCCAAATACGAAATTTTGAACATCCCACGGTTTGTCGGTGGGAAGACGAAGTAGCTTCAGAAGAGCATTCTTGTCATCGTATCGATTCTTGTCGTGAGGAACTCTGCACTGCTCGGCAAAAGCCAGCGCCAATGTGTTGTACACTTCATTCATAAACTCAAATTTCCATGGCATAATTCGATAAGTTTTTAGCACCACGTAATTTCCCATGACTTCCTCGACGTACTGCGAAAGTTTCTAACAATAAAAGTTCTTTAAAGTCTTCTATGTTCAAATAATCACAAATAAAAACTCACAGCTATGTTGCCGGCGTCACGAAGTTTTCGAATGCTTCTCAACACCGAAAGCATATTGCGACTGGTTTGGTACTGCTTACGGTAAAGATAGTCCTCCCGAAACTTGTCCATCAGTTTCTTGTTGGTGAATTTGTTGTATCGAAGGTAGTACATGGGCGCACGCGCATGAAGCATTTTCTGTAATGTATTTATGTCCAATTTATAGATAGAGTATGAACATCGTAGCACATCGTACATACCAAGAACTTCTTTAATTCATCATATTTCTTTTTATTTAGAGCCCCCAGAAAATATTTCGAGTTTTTGCACTGTTCAAGCAGCAGAGTTTGGTTCCTGTATGTAAAGTATATAACATTAATTACTAAATATCGCTGATAAGTTATTATGCGAAATTACTTTAGCAATTTTTTCAAGAAAATCACATCGATCCATGACTTGTCCATGTAAATTTGATTAAATACATCAAATGCTCGATGTCGCCTTGCGATTTCAAGTGGCGACAGTAACTCGTCCTTGCAAAAGTGTAGAAAAAGTGTTGTTAAAGGAACCAACCAAAAAAAATGTTAAGCTTTATACATACTTCGATTTCTGGGATACTTAAAACATCACATTTATTTTGTTCCTTTAACAATTTCCACAGTGGCTTGTTTTTATCTTGACTGCGTGCCTTGAGGTCCTGTTGTTTAACATGGATTAACAACTTCTCATTCGCAGCTATGAACTGTCTTAGCTCTTCGCCACAACAGTTTTTAATGTTCTCGTCAACCACAACGAGACGTTTCTCAAATGACTTTGTTTTGTTTCCCTTGAACAGCCGCGTATTATCGTGTAGTTCCGCCTTGGCAATCTCCAGCTGATTCAGTTCATAGAGAGCATCACATATTTCCAAATTAATTGGTGCATTCTTGATCTTAAGTGCGTTTAAGATTCCTGTAAATCCACAAAGTAGAGATAGAGTAAAGAACATTCTCAGAGTGTGGACATACTTTTTGCCTCGTTACAATCCATAAGAGCGCCTTCGGTTTGGGCATTTTTTCGCTTAGTTTGGCTCCGATGGTACAGGGTCACATAATCCTCGGGCAGCATGGAGAGTGCCTTGTTGTAGTAGTACATGGCCATGTTCTCCCTTCGCCGGCCCGAGTAGTACGAGCCCCAGTCCTTGTAGATGCCATGCTCTATTTCGGGACTCCAATCAATTTTCAACCATATGGGTACGGCTGCTCCAATTCCCGCCGGTGGTATAAGATTCGCTACTATTGAAGTCATTCTTGGTTTTTGTTAATTTTGTTGCTTTATTTATTTTGTGTAGTCTATTTGATTTTATGTGTGTGTTGTATGAGTACAGAGTATAATGAGTAAAACTCTGTGCATGTTAAAACCCTCTACAAAAAATGACTTTATTTGAAAAGGTGCTACACATGCTAGACATTTTTGTAGATTTTTGGCTGCCGACAACAGATAAGGATTTATGTACATTAAGTTGTGAAGCATTAGCAGTAGAAAGTTGCAGCTGCAAGGCTGAAGCTCTAATTGGCATTACAATGTTTCGTTCATTAAAAACTTTTCAGGCTCCTTCAATCATTGGAACAATGTGATGTGAGCATGCTTGTTGGCATAGCCTTAGAGCCAATTCTTTGCCATGGTAATTATTATAAATTTGATATTTATATCTACATAATATCTGTAAATGTACATTTTCAAATTTAGAGCATTACGAAGTAGCTCCTAGTCTTGGCCTATTCCGCAAAAGTTTATATTTATTGTTTCCGAGCTGCAATTATTTCTGAAATTAGTTCTCAAATGCAACAATTAAAATCCGGTAGCTCGTAACAGCAAGAGTCGGACTCCAACGCCTGCGCACTAATTTCCCTCTAAAATTCGAATCAGGTCCTTTTGGGATATGCCAGCAGTTATGCTGCATCTCTTGTTGGCTCTACATCAGATGAGCAATAATAATTGTATGTATTTTATAAACTATTTAAGAAATTGTGACAGTGCCAAGCCTCAAGAGTGTGGTTGCCAAAATGTGTTTCTTGAAATATGTAATGAAATTACAAGGCTAAAACATGTGAGGGCATCAAATTATGAATATAAATAAGGATTGGGCAAGAAATGTAATTATTACAGACTTATATTTTGTGCTATTGTGATTTGTTGAAATATCTTTCATACATCTTAAAGATGTGCCCAATATGGAGCTATCAAATATAGCTCTCTAATAGAAGTTTGTTGCTCAAGAGGCTACTTATATGCCATGGTTCCCAGGCTCGGTTAAGTCAGATATATGTCCACGTGCGATATGTGTTTGCACATATTATTCTTCGGAAATAACCAACGAAACTTAAGAACTATTTATAATTTTACTCACCACAAGTAACGGTAGGAACACATACGTCTTTGTGTCAAAGAATAACGTATCGAGTACATACTTTAAGGAGGTTTCAGCTAAACCACAGACGTAACGGAAGCGTGAAATTATTTATGGTTTCATTAGGAGGATGCATTAGCCATGTGTTCATAATTACTTTACTTAATGCTACTGGTGCTGTGTGTGTGTGGGTATTCCACGTATGCATATTCATCTTGACAGGTACATTTGTCCTGGCATATAGGAAGTATCTTAAAGCAAGTTAAAGCTACGATTTGTAGGCAATCGAACATTAAATAATTAATTATAGAATCTAAATGTCACATTACACAAAGCATTATAAATTGTTTAATTATAAGTTCTTTGAATAATTTCCACCATTTCGAACTATTAATTGTACGTAAATGCCCATTGTCTTTTGAATTATTTGCTTAAATTTGATTGTTTTTGACGTAAATATAAAATATTACTCATTCTGCGGCATGAATTTAGAATAAACACATCTACATTTATAATATCTATATAGATACGCGCACAAATATATATATATATGTATATATATGTATCTACAGATTAGCCCAAACCATGCCTTTTTATCTCTCTATCTCTATATCGCTTGACGGCGCACAGTAATCTGAAGGCACCTAAAAGATACAGTGGCAGTTTCATTACGATAACGAATAGCCGGATCGGATCTCTCTCTTTCCCCTTAATATATTCGCCATAAGTGCTATTACCCAATTAAAATCATTTCAACAGCCTCCGCTTTGGGATACGGTTAGCACGGAGCGAAAACCCAGAAGCGCAAAGCAAAATGGATGCGGCAACGGAATTGCCGTCTCCATCACTGGAGCTCAGCAATGTCAGTATGGTGTTCAATAAGAGCATTGACAATATCAATCAGATATTGGCGACCAGCTTCAACATGGCTCCAGAACATGCCCTAGAGGCAGAGGAGTATGGCTGCTTCAGCGCCAATTGCTCACCTTCGGAGTACGTGGAATTTGTGCTGGGCCCACAAACGTTGCCACTCTATAAGGCGATTTTTGTAAGTTTCTGACTACAAAATTATACATTTGAAATGAAAATTGATTCAATTTCAGATTACCATTATATTTGGAGCGGTTTTTATAACTGGCGTGATAGGAAATCTTCTTGTGTGCATTGTGATAATACGACATTCCACAATGCACACGGCGACCAACTATTACCTCTTCAGTCTGGCCGTTTCGGATCTGCTCTACTTGCTCTTTGGTGGGTTGACTCTTACAGTATCGTTCCTTACATATAATTTATTTTTTTATACTCCTATAGGACTTCCCGCTGAAGTATTTCTCTACTGGCATCAGTATCCTTTTCTCTTTGGCTTGACCTTTTGCAAACTACGAGCATTCATCTCTGAGGCGTTAGTATAACTCAAAGAAAGGTTCTTGCTTGTACTAAGTACAGTCATAACATATTTCAGCTGCACTTATGTGTCGGTGTTTACGATCGTTGCCTTTTCCATGGAGCGATTTTTGGCCATCTGCTATCCTCTCTACCTGTATGCCATGGTTGGGTTCAAGCGTGCCGTGCGGATCATAACTGCACTCTGGATTATAAGTTTTATAAGCGCCATACCATTTGGATTACTCACCGACATTCAATATCTCATTTATCCACTAGGTAGGTTCATATTTGGTACCCTCTGAAGGTAAATTTAAATATCTTTTACTCTATTGTCAGATAATGCGCCCATAGCGGACTCTGCATTCTGTTCAATGTCACCAGAGGTTCCAAATATCATTCCCATATTTGAGATATCGTTTTGTGTTTTCTTTGTGATTCCCATGATTATTATCATTTTGCTCTACGGACGCATGGGAGCCAAAATTCGTTCAAGAACAACACTCAAATTGGGTGAGCATTAAACGGTAGCATGTAGCCCCAAATGTGATCTAACAAAGTTTTGTTTCTAGGCGTTCGACATGGCACCATTAATCAAGAAGCGAGAAACTCACAAAAGAAAAAGAAGACAGTCATAAGAATGTTGGGTAAGATCTTCGTATTGTTAATGTCAAAATTGAACTAAACTTTTTACAATTTCTATTCAAACACAGCCGCTGTTGTCATCACATTCTTTGTGTGCTGGTTTCCCTTTCACATACAAAGACTTTGGTACTTGTACGCAAAGAATATTGAAAACTTTCAAGACATAAACGAGTGGCTGTTCTCTATTGCTGGATTCGCCTACTACGTGTCATGGTAAATAAGAAACAATAACTAAAGTATCCAAAAATAAGTTACTTATTCAACTTTACATTTACTTGCTCTTAGCACCATTAATCCAATCGTTTACAGTGTCATGTCGCGACGCTATCGGGTTGCATTTAAGGAGTTACTTTGTGGCAAACCAGTGGGTGCCTACTACAACAGCGGATTTGCACGGGATTGCTCGAGTTTTCGAGAGCCCTCAACTGGCGCGAGTCTGGCTAACAACAGAGGCTACGATCGCGTTCAATCTGTGAGTATTTATAGGAGACTATATCCTCTATCCTATAGCTATAACTTGCAATAGTAATGAGCTAAATGTTCTTAGGTTCACGTTCGATCTAGCCATTACGATAATGCTAATGAAACCTCTTCTATGCCTTCGAATAGAGTGCTAATCAAGAAAACATATAGCCTTCCTCTGCCAAAGGTAAATATACAAACAAGAGATCTCAAGATTTGATAACGAGCCTAAACGCGTACGTTATCTTTTTCTTTGAACACACTTGTAGTCTTTCTTTTTTATCTGTTTGCTCTCCGTTATCTTCTTTTTTTTTTTGCGGAGCACTTTAAAATTTATGGTTATTTAGAAGGTAGCCCCCCAAACGTTTAAATCGAACCACTCTATCAGACATATAATTGCCATGGAAATGCATAGTTATTCCTTCTAAATACTGATGCATTTATTTTAAATTTAATATTTTTAGAATGCCGACTCAACCGTCATAAGCAGAACAGATATTGTGATCGTGCTAGAAAATAGTGCAGGTGCCCGAAAGGACGGCGAAGAATCAAAGGAAACTTGCATTTAAGGGCGTCATCTCACATTTAATTTAGGGTTAAAAGTGGGAAATCTAAGGGACCTCCACATGATATATGCATGGACTATGCTCCAAAATACTTAAATTCATATCAAGAAACTCCTATGTAATACGTTCGTATCAATAAGGCATTATATTAGCACGTAAACGATATGTTATAGAATACAATATTTATTTAATTTAAGTCTAAATAATTTGTTATGTCGACAATACTCTGATTACTGCACATGCACTCTTGGATCAATTTTCATACCTGAAAATATAGGATTAGGAACTCTTAAAGAGGAAAAATGTATATACAAAGTAATAAGGAATTTTTAAGAATAAATGTATTAATTAATAATCCTTAATAACGAATTCTTGCAGCAAGTCTGCTTACAAAGTCCTGACAGTTCCTAAACTCTCTCGGGTAGCGTTGAGAATGACCAACGGCTGGTGCTTTTTAAACAACTTAAACCTTTCGTTGATGTAGGTTTTAAGCTGCAGATAATTATCATATTTCAAAGAGCAAAACTAACAGACCTTTTATCAATGAACAAATTAACGATTTACTGTTACCAATATGCTTTGCATAACAATGATTGAAACCAGACATGTTTTTATTTTATTTTATGATATCTTATATCTTGTTCTCGTAAAAGAAACGAATGCCAAATTGCCAAAGCAAACCGAAGCGAAAGTTGTAACATTATAATCGATAATTATGGTGAAAAATTTCATTTTCAAAGAATGCATAAATTATCGAAAATTATACCAAGGGAAATGATAAACTTGGAAACACTCAAATGTGAGTACAAATATTCACTGATTAGCTGAAACCTGTACGCGCACGCTTCCAGTTATGAATACAAATGAATGACCTTTGATTTAACTTTCTCCAACAAGACAACAAACAATTACCAAACAATGAATAATATTTACTGCATATTCATGTGTACTTTGTTGATGCACGATCTCAAGCCACATAAGCATAACGTTTAATAAATGTACAGTACAATAATTATAATTAATTTTAGAGTTTAAATATGTGAGAGCTCCTGGAGTAGACATTAAGAAATGGTAGATAGATGGAACATGTCTGTATATTCCTGAGAAGAACCCTCGATTAGCTCAGAGAGTGTACTTCAAGCTTCGGCTCTACTGTTCGCCTTTCTTAATTGATTTTGCAACAACTCCACTGTGCCACACTTTCAAATGGATGCCTCGGCTTTGTCTCAGTGTGCAAGCCACAGTGCCCCAGTGGCAACGTTTCCCAAAACAGGTTTACAGCCAGCCCCGTACATGGACTGGTTCAGAAATGTTCCACTTGTAAAATTTAGTTGCCTCCGAGAGTCCAAGCGAACCAAAGTCAGCCATCAAAAGAGCTAAAGAAGAAAGTGAGTTGAGATGTGATGTGATGTGTGCGCAAGATTGGATTTATTGACTGTTTTTTGATATTGTGATCGACTAGCGGTTCTTTAAATAACAAACTGTTAACTCAATATTGAGACACCACAGACCCGAAAGACTCCATCAAAAGCTGCATCAGTTTAGACGGCGGCTTAGAGGCTAAGATAACAAAGAAAGTGAGATTAACTAGTTTTTGGATGCTTGTCCGAAAGTTGCCTCTGTGTGTGTGTGTGTGTGTGTGTGAGTAAAATTTGATAGAAATTCCACTTTTATACTTTCGGAAAAGATCTCGAAGCAGCTGCTCAACTGAGAAATGTCAAATATCAATAGACCGTCGTGGAAACAAGTCGCGCGAGCCACGAACTCAGCTCCGATTCCGCATTGAGTTATTACAGCCACAAAATGTCGCAAGGCGTATTGAATCTATTAAACAATCTTCTAAAGATATTCATTGTGTTTGCCTGCGTGTTCTCGCGAGTGCAGTGTAACAAGAATGTTGGCCAAGAATATACGAGCCGCAATGCGCGATTATTCGACTTCTTGGGCGAACCCAAGCCACACTTTAGCCACATGCGCAGTAGACCGCCAGGACCCAATGTGTTTCCCCTGCATCGTCTGAATGCACGCTCCGATGGTCCTGCACCAAATCAATTTCCACCCAAATTTGCTCTGAGGTCTCCACAACCGCCAGCAGGACTGCATTTAATGGGCATCGAGCATAATTATCCATTCATCGAGAATAATCCACAGCACAGGGGATATCATTATGATAATAGTAAGCCCATGAGATTTGCACACTCTAAGGATGCAGTGCTGGATGTTGGAAAGAACCAATTCGTGCGTCCGGAAGGCATACTCCAATATCCCTCCGAGCAGTACTTGCAGAACTTCAAGACCGCGCCTCGGTTCAATGGAAATGTCAATCTACTACAAAAGAATCCCAACCCATCGTACACGCCGTTCCAGCAGCATGAGATTCCTGTGCAGCCCAACCAATACATGCACTACCCGAAACCCTATGTCCAGCCGGAAAACTACGGTCCAGTGCAGTCGAAACAAGCTGTCATGAAGAAAGCTCAATTCCCGCAGGAATACAGCACCTACTCGGTGCACGAAGATTTGGACAATCTTCCAAAACAAGGCATTCCACAGCAACAGGGGAACTTCCGGCAGCCAGCGGCACCACAAGTAGAATCAAAGGAGGCGCAGGAATACCTACACTTCATGGGCACCAATGAGTACTTCCTGCCCAAACGAGATCCTGACTATAAGAAACTGGACGCTGAGCATGATGGTGTTCCCAGCCCCATTCAGCATTCCCAGCAATATCCACAATCCCAGTTGCAGCAGTATCAGCAGCAGCATCAGTCCCAGCAGCATCAGTCTCATCAGCAACCTCAGCAGCAACATCATTATCCCATTAATGGCGGAGCTCAACATCATGACACTGACAATAGTCTGTCGTCCAGCTATAATGAACCCATCCAAGTGGCCGATTTGTTTTATAATCAAGATCCAGCACCTCCAAATGTGGCGGTGGTGCGCGGCAGCTATCAGGCCGGTCAGGACGTGTTTGTGGTGAAGTCTGATGGCAACAAGGCCGTCAAGCATGTGGTCCTAACTCCGATGGCAGCCCAAACAACGACACCAGCACCCCCATCAACGGCAAGGAACCAAAATCTTCAGAAGAGTCACAAAGGCTTTACACAAGAGCCGGTGCGGTTTGAATTCACCGAGCAAGATGCCATTAGGGGACACATAAGCTATACCCAATCTCCGCAAGGGAACAAATATAAGTACGAGACAATCTACTCAACACCCCATCAAACAAATCCAGTTCAAGCGCCAGCTCCCATTGCCGAGATCGCCAAGCCGATCAAAGAATACAGCGACGACATTGAAGACAGCGCCGATACGGAACATTCGAAACAGGTAGGAAGAGCCTCTAAGACAGGATTTTGCTTGTTTTCTTATCAATTGTCAACTATGATTTGTGATTTTTAATTTTAGCAACAAATCGAAAATACACAAATACAAGCTGCAGGCGCTGCGAACTCTCAGGATGATACAAAGGCTACCGAAAGCTACTGCGAGAATATATGCGCAAATGTTTATGATGAAAATGATGAGATTGTCTGTGGTTCCGACGGCTATATGTACACCGGAGAAACACAATTAGAGTGTTATTCGTCCTGCCTTAATATAAGTAAGTAAATTATGGTCGAAATTATGCTATTTGTCAAACAACTCTCTTTCCTTTCAGGTATAACCATCAAAAGTAAGGGATCTTGCACATGAGCCCTGTGTGCGTTTGCCTTAATGATACTTAGAATAACGAATAAACAATTTTTTAGTTTTAATAATTTATTTATATTATTTATTGCTAGTGTAAGTGTAATTGTAATCACAGCCTCAGCTATTTATTCAAGCAATATTGTCAATTTCTTAAAAGGTAGACATATTAAAACTGATTTTGATGTAGAACTCTGACTATTGCAACAATAATTTAAATATTAAATGATGATGGTTACCCATGAATAATTTATTCTCATGCATAAAGACTAACCAAGAAATCCCTTGGTAAGATGTTCATGTATGCATAAAGACAGTAAGAAAACATAACAGTAATAACTAATAAAGAATATGTAATTTCCAATTGCGCAGTTGTTTCACTTAATTATTACAATTTACCTGTGCAGACGCATGTTTATTTTCCAGCGACAGTGAGAGAGAGCCCTTGACCTACACATATTTCTACGCTCGATCATAAACGCATACAAACACTACTTGCTCAGCCAGAAGCTTACGCTCTCGTTTTAGTTAGAAGAGGAAGAATAGCATTGACTGCTCGCTCATCTGCAGCCCCCCTCTCCCAATCGACTTCGAGAACAAACGCTGCAGCGCTTAGCTCACGATTTCAGTGACGTCCACATGTGTATGTATGTACATATGTACATAAGTACATATACACCACGCTCTTGACTCGGCCACGCTGCGGCTAATCTGCAGCCCTCCCACTCACCACCCACTTCAAGCACGAACGCTGCTGCTCTGTTCTCACGGCTACACCACGATCTAGCTCGGCCAAAAACTTTCGCTCTCGTTTTTCGAAGAAGCTTTGAGCCGGCCGCGCATCTGCATTCTTTTCATAGCTTACAGTTCTCATCGGTCCATCATTCAAAGCGGTCATAAAATCGGTAAATGAAATTGTGTGTTTGTTCGTCTCGTGAGCGCGCGCCAAATGCAACATTCTATATGTATGTACACCCACACGTACGCAATACGCAATAATTCGGCCGCAAACTTTCGCTATCGTTTTTATCAGTGATCTAGTGAGAGACAAGACGAGCAAAAACAAAAGCCGATATTCAGAGAAAAGTTTTGTGGCGGCCGCGCAACTGCCTTCTTATCGGAGCTTGCAGTTCCCATCGGTCCATCATTCAAAGCGGTCATAAAATCGGTAAATGAAGTCGTGTGTGTGTGTTCATCTCGTGAGAGCGCGCCAAATGCAACATTCTATGTCTGTGGACACCCACACGAACGCAGTGCGTGATAATTGGGCCGTAAACTTTCGCTCTTGTTTTTCGAAGAAGCTTTGAGCCGGCCGCGCATCTGCATTCTTATCATAGCTTACAGTTATCATCGGCCCATCATTCAAAGCGGTCATAAAATCGGTAAATGAAATTGTGTGTTTGTTTATCTCGTGAGCGCGCGCCAAATGCAACATTCTATATATATGGACACCCACACGTACGCAAACTTTCGCTATCGTTTTTATCAGTGAAATATTGAGAGACAAGACGAGCAAAAGCACAAGCCGATATTCAGAGAAAAGTTTTGTGCCGGCCGTGC